TTTGCATCACACACACGCATACACACACACCACACACATCACACAATAGACTGGCATGCAAAGCGGCAGTATTCGCTCGAGGCGAAGCTGGGGCTGGAATAAGCATTTCGAGCACGTGACAGAAGCGCACCTTGTCAACGACCGGGCCGTGGCTTGTGTAAACACCTTCACTCGTGTTCTAGAGGCGTTTCAAACTGAATGCTGTCAAAAATGCGAGGACGCCTCTGTCAGAAAGCCTTACACTTACGTGAGAAACGTTGAACCCAAAAATTATGCTCACGCAAAACAACAACAACACAGCATGATGATGGTATGTAAGATAAGTAATATGTGATACTGTATTATGTTATGACCAATACATTCTGATACTTTTGTTTATGTAATGACAGATGAAGTCATAATTGTCTGTAAACACTTGTAATTAAAAATGTTGTCGCTAATAACCTTAGTCATTGATGCGACAAAAAATAAAGAGAGAATAAAAAATTTAAAAAAAAACAACAATACAGCGGGCAGAACAGGATTGCCAATTTAAGCGGATTTATAGTGTAGCCATTCGTTTTTTTCTCAATGAAGAAAATACGGCATATTGAGACGTAAAGGGCTCTATCAAAGTCAATAATAAGTTTCGAGAACCCATTGAATTTGAAGAATTTCCTGCAGAAGAAAGGGAAAGAGAGAGTACGAAAGGCAAAAAGACTGTACCCGTATTTTCAGCGTCCTCTGCTCATCCGGAGGAGGGTGGATTGAGACGATAAGATCATTCCAATTCAAGTGATCCAGAATAATTTAAAAGTAACCTCGCCACCTTAGAAAATATATACACTTTGAATGCAAATTCCTCTTGTGGTTTGTAAGTTCTAAACCGTTAAAAAATATTGTACATAGTTTGCAAAAGGCAAATCATAAGATAATTTATGTAGAAAGTTTGCGGTTTTTTTTCTGAAATGGTCAAGCGACAAGTGCTGGACCACTTAAAATAAATTGACTCGTTAGTTCTCTTTACATGCAGGATGAGTTTGTTTGGTGTAACAGCTAGAGTGTTCAAAGCAAGTCCACTCTACCAGTGACGGATCAAGGGAGGTATGCCCCCCAAAGACAAATTCCTTTTCTTTGCAATAACACCATCCCTACTACTTATTTCCAATGAGCACAGAAATTGATAGAAAACTATGCAGCCTCCCGCCATATATGAGTTTTGTCATATACCCAAGAACTCGAAAACAGAAATACAAGAACAATCCGTTTTATTTATGACTGCAAAATGCAAATATTTGATTGAATCATTTCTCCTGATCTCAAAAATACGATTCCCAACTGAATTCTCATTCACAGTAAGCCACAATTTGCGACATCATCGATGAGCGAGTGGTTAGATTCCTGGTTTTTGAACGAACTGTGCGCAAATTCACTCCCGACCGACGTGTGTGAATTTTTAAAAGACGGAAATTCCCACAGTGTCCAAGTCATACAGGTGCTCGTCAAAATCAAATCCCTCTGGCAAAATCCTCTCCCGATGAGATCTCACTTCCACATCCGCAGAATTTGGATATTGTTAGTTGCGACCGACATCTGACAGGGATCGCGAGAATCCCATCAGGCGTATCAGGGGACGCCCACAGAAAGCGCCTGCTCAAAAAAGATCCCCAGGCCCGCGCCGCGTGGAAGGCTTCAGAGCACGTATGTAAATTGGGGACCAAATAGTCCCCTCATCTTTTCTCGCGAAACTTACTTTCTAATTCTACATGTAAATTGGGAATCAAAAAATCCCGTCACCTTTTCTTGCCAAACTTACTTTCTAATTCTACATATAACTTGGGGACTAAATTGTCCCGTCACCTTTCTCGCGAAACTTACTTTCTAGTTCTACATATAACTTGGGGACCAAATAGTCCCGTCACCTTTTCTCGCGAAATTCTGTAAAATTGGGAAGGGAGTTGTGTTTTAAAAATTTTGGCTTTGAAAATGCCCCTCGAAAATAAAGTGTCCCTTTCTACGTTTAACTGGAAGGGGATGAGATAACCGGCCATCAATTTACGTATTCCCTTCTCTGAGTCGGTTCCCAATTTACATATGGGTCGAACTCCTATTTTCCTTGTGGTCCCCAATTTACACAAGCGGGAATCGCCCGACTGCATCCCGCGGTCAGTTTTCCCTCACCCTCGTTTCCCAGCAAATGCACTTTTCGTTACCTGAGAAGGCATTACTCGACTCCTATTCCGTTCCGTTCATCCAGGATTTCGGAGCGAAAACATTTTTGTGAAGTTTGCATTGCATTCATTCGTGCAGATGTTCTCATTCCACTCCAGCAAAATTTTCGATCACAGGTAAACATGGTTGAATCTTTGAAATTATGTATGTTAAGTCTGTGAGGTAAGATGTTCATGATAGACGATTTCATGTTTCGTTTCCACGAACTTTTAAGCGGTGTGGGTTTTTTTTGGATTAAGCGGTGATATTCCATTAATATGCACATTTGATTGATAGCTATCATTACTTATCTTTATTATGTATCCTCAAACGCGTTGCTAAAATCAACTGATTTTGATTGTGAAGATATAAAATTTTTGATGAGAAATATTAATATTATCCAACTCTAAATGGAAGAGTTAAAATAAAATATCTGAGAAACATCTTGCCATTCTGTTGCACAAGCTCTAATTTTAACCTCCTCAGACGGCAAGTTAGCATCTGACTGACTTTCTTTTTCTTGGCTTCATATAAAAGTGGCTGCAAACCATTAAAATAGCAACTCTCAAAGCTGCAGTAGTGCAATTTTCATTTATCACAATGAGCTTCTCAAGCACTTAAATACTTGTGAAGAGATACGTCGTACAAAGGAAACGTTTGTTCACCTACTCAGTGGGTGGTGAACAAATTTAACATTCTGAATTAATCGCATAGGAATATTATTATTCTTAGAAACAAATAATCACAGCAATAATCGTAGCCGGCTGCTGAGAACCTGATGGCCAAGCACATATAACATAAATAAATAAATTAATAAAAAAATAAACCTCCGCGAGGAGGCATTTTAATCAAGCCAGCTGGACACAGAGGGAGAAGCAAGGCTTTCAAACCAATACCTACTGATATGCTAGGTTCTCACAAATAGTTTATAAATATTTTATAATGCCTGTAAAACTAATTTGGGTGGACTTAATATTAGCAGGTACTGGTCACACCGAGGCAGCAATAGCTCAGAGCACAAGCGACACTTGCAGGGGTCTTCAACCATTGAAAAATAAACAACTACTTGGGAAAACACGAATTGCTTTTCATGAAAGTTAATATTACAGCCTTTAGTATAGTGTTGTTCGTACATTGTTCGACGAATTTTGCAACGTATTTCTGTATTTGCAGAATCAAGGCTTCTCCCAGTTTCTTTCACTTTAAGTGACATTGCTTTATTTTCGGTAGGTGTAAAATTAATACATCGTTTACCCATTCTACTTACAACAATTTGAGTAAACTGTTTTAGCGAGTTAATTCAAGTTTTGATAATTTAAGTTTTGAATTTTCCAGTGATGTTTGAATTAGAGAGTCTAGTAAATTTAAAATCGAGAGAAGCTTTCTAGATTCACAAGGAATGTCGCGCTTATTCATTCTAGACTAAAAAATCTTTCGAAATGTTTAGGATGCAGTATACACAGACTCCACAATAAAGTACGTGATGTCCGAAGAGAAAAACCATAATCTTTCAAGCTTCTGTCTCGATATTATTTTATGAATATTACTAATCAAATCGATGAATTTTCAACATTGTATATAAATTATAAAAGTGATGATTATTTTTATTAAACTACCTCTGTTAAATTATCAAATATTAACAACATTTACTTATCACGCACTTCTGTTCTATCTACAGTATCAAAACTGAGTTTATAAAAATATTTTTCACGTAAAGCATCAACTGAAGGGGTTTTCCTTGTGAAATGAGAAACCATCGGACGATACACCATTGTACCTACAGCACTACACCTTAGTGGCCTGGGAAATAATGGATCTAAGTGTTTTTTATTTCGTCGCGCAATCAGGTTAAGGACTGCATACACACATTTTCTTGTGCCGAAGAAAACATGATCAGGCTACACAAATTTTCAAACGGCGGTTTTTCACCGACGAGTGTAAAGGGTTGAAGACCTCTGCTGAAGCGGTTAGGGCAGCGGCAAGCAGCGGCATCACACGGAGAGCACAAAGCGGCCAGAGCAAGGGGGTTGACTCGCCCCGGCTTCATGGGTAATTGCGTGTTTATTGCCGTGCAATAAACCTACAAAATGTGCAATGCAGCCTTGGGCACGACCATGACTTCGTGACCGACAAAGCTTACTGTCTCACGACGTTACTTTGTTTCAAGAGTATGGCCATTAATTCAAGACTTGCTTAGTGCAAGGAAAATACGTCGTTAAATGAATCGATTTTAAGAGTTTGCTAGTTTGTATTACATTTTCGAATGCAATTCATTTCAGCGGAACATTCTAATTAGATGTCACATGAATTTTAATAATAATTTTTTTGTAATAGATCATCGAATTTGAAATATTTTTACGTACGGCGTTCAAAAGAATATTTTGAATATTTTTAAAACTTTGAATATTTTGAATATTTGTCAAACTTTGAATATTTTGAATGTTTGTAAAACTTTGAATATTTCGAATATTTGTAAAACTTTGAATATTTTGAATATTTGTTACACTTTGAATATTTGTAAAACCCTGAATATTTCAAATATTTGTAAAACTTTGAATATTTTGAAAATGTAGAATATTAGTGACTTTTGAATATTTAGAAACTTCTGAATACTTGGATAATTTTGAAAATTTGTAAAACTTGATATATTTTGAAGAGTTAGGATGTTTGTAAACTATTGAATATTTGGAAAAGTTTTAATTTTTGGAAATTTTTGAATACTTGGTTTTTTTTTGAATATTTATAAAATTGCATTAATTTAGTTTATTTTAATAGATAGAATTGCTGATAAAAATGAATATTTCTGGTTCCTAAGCCGAGTCGGGCCACGTGGCGAGCCAATCCGCGCCGCTCTCGGCCGCCCCGCGCCCCCCGCCGCGTGCGTCGCGCCACCTACCGCCCTCCTGGTAGTCGCCGCCGCCGCCGTCGCCGTCGCCGCCGTCGCCGTTGCCGTCGTACACGAAGCCGTTGGGCTCCGGGTTCTCGTAGTCCAGCTCCTCGGCCTCCGGCGCCGCCTCCGAGGCCCCCTCTGCGCATGCGCGTTCAAACAGACAGCTGACGAACGCCGCGCGGCATGCGCGGGGAAGCAACCGCCCCCAGTCTCTTTCCTCACGTAGGAAGCAACCTCACCCCAGTCTCGTCCTCACCACAAGGTACCCCAAGGAGTACCACTGTACCACAGGAGTACCGGAGTACCACAAGGTAGTGTACTCGGCCCTATCCTACACCAGCTCTATACTACTGATATATCAAAATCAGATAAAACAACCATAGTCGCTTTTGCAGATGATACGGCCATATTAGCTTCGGATGACGACCCTAATGTCGCATCAAGACATTTACAACAACATTGCCAAAAAGTGGAAAATAAAAATCAACGAAAATAAATCAGTCCAGATAACCTTTACCCTGAGAAAAAAAACAAATGCCCTAATGTCTACATCAACAATAATCCAATAGTACAGATGGAAAGTGTAAAATACTTGGGAATACATCTAGACAAACGGCTAACATGGAAGCATCACATCTTAGCCAAAAACATGCACCTACAACTTCAAATAAGAAAACTATACTGAATACTAGGATACCACTCAAAACTATCACTGGAAAACAAACTGTTGATTTATAAAGCTATCATAATCCCAATACGGACCTACGGCATCCAGATCTGGGGCACAGCAAGCAAGAGTAATCTCTCGATCATCCAGAGATTTCAATCCAAGACCCTAAGAATGATCGCGGCAGCACCATGGTTCATCACAAATGCAGCACTACACAATGACTTAAAAATGCCCACTGTCTTGGAAAGAATAGAATTTATCAGCTCAAACTATCTCCAGCGCCTTGAAAACCATCCAAAGCACCTAGCCCTCAACATCCTAGACAATAGTGCAGATATCTATCGACTAACCAGACCCTCACCCATACAACTCCCATATAGATTCTCAACAAATAACTGAAACACTACCCTCAGCTAATAAACTATTCCACTTGCAGCCAACCCAAAATAATACTTGCTTTTTGTTATAGTATGAAGGAGTAGATGAAGAGTACCGATGGGATACCTTCACTGGAAATCATTGTCATAACAATTCTACAACATCACATTTACTTATTATTTTGTAAAAAAAATAGATTGTAAATTTTAGTGATAAATAAAAAAACCTTTTCTCACGTGAAATTATTGTCATGGGTTTGCAAGGAACCCAGGATCAGTAGAAATGTTAAGAACAACGGTTTATTAAAATAAAATTACATTACCAAATACCTGCTCTTTAGAATGCTTTATGTCGAGCGAAAATAAAATATTCGTAGTTCTATTGAAATCTGTCAATATAAAAAAGCACTCGTAGTTGATAAAGGCAAGGGGACTTATTTGAGGATTTCCAGAGCAGCGTTGCTTTTTATTTTGGCTGTTTCAGGAGTGATAACTGTAAAAAAACTGAAAAATGCTACATTTTGAAATGTTAACTTAATTAAATAACAGAAATATAAAATGTATCAATTCCAATTAGGCTGTAATACAAACAAGCTAATCCACAAAGATAAACGGTAATTTTTCTCTGAGTACATTTCACGAAGTCCTATACTTAAACGTGTTTGGTGCATATTTCCAGAGCGGAATAGTTAACATATCTAACGTGGCGCTGGGTCTATGCAGGTGCTCTCGTCAAGAACGGACTTCTACACACTATCGAAAGAAATAACTGGAGAAAAAACCAGCACTATTACACAAATTCTCAAGCCCAGCCATTGTTATGTGAATGATTATTGCGAAGTACAATGTGGTGCGTCAAACGAGAAGCGAACCGTCTTTAAAATCACTCTCTCCTGCCTCTCACTCTCTCCTGCCCACGTCTCTCCCCTGTCGACATTCCTTTCATCACAACTGCGTTCCATACGTCCTAACCACGTTCCGTCCGTCTCGCCTCCATTCCGTCAAAGTTCCATTCGTCCCACCCCATATTCCAACCATCCAGTCTACGTTCAGTCCGTCCCGGCCACGTTACATGCTTCTCGCCCGACATTCCATCCGTCCCACCCACGTTCTGTCCGTCTCGGCCCCGTTCTGACCATAGTCCATTCGTACCGCCCTCTTTCCATCCCGTCCCGCGCACGTTCCATCCTTCCCGTCCACGTTCCATCCATCCCGTGCATGTCCCATCCACGTTCCATTCTAACCGACAATGTTCTATCCGTCCTGACTATGTTCTGCCCATCCCTGCCACTTTCTATCTGTCCCGCCTACGTTCCAAGAGTTCCGCCCATGCTCCATCCCATTTACGTTCCGACCGTCCCGGCCACGTTGGATCCGTCTCGCCCACGTTCCGTCCGTCCCACTCACGTTCCATCCATCCCGTCTACGTCCCATCCACGTTCCATTCTAACCGACAATGTTCTATTCGTCCTGACTATGTTTTGCCCGTCCCAGCCACTTTCTATCTGTCCCACTCACTTCCTTTCTATCTGTCCCTTCCATCCGTCTCGCCCGTGTTCCATCCCGTCCTCGTTCCGACCGTCCCGGCCACGTTGGATCCGTCTCGCCCACGTTCCGTCCGTCCCACCAGGTTCGTCCGTCCCGTCTACGTTCAATCCATCTCGCCCACGTTCCGTCCGTTGCGTCCACGATCCATTCGTGACGCCCGCACTCCAACCCGCCAACACCTCGCCGATCGACGGCAGCATTTTCGGCCCTCGTGCGCCCGCCGCCGTGTCCTCCCTCGCGGCGCCCGCCCTCGCCCACAAGGCGGGCGCTGCCGAGCATCTCATTAAAGTGCATTTGCGCCCCCCCCGCGCCGCTTTACTAATGACCGTCCGCAGCACCCGCAATTTCACGGGGAGTCGCTCACGGAATCGAAACTACTACAGCGGCCTCCGCGAGGGAACCCGTTTCCTCGCTCTCGCTTCGCGCCTTGTAATTACGTCCGCTGAGGACAGTCTGCGGCGTTTTGCTAGTCAGTTGTAATTTCAGTATCAAAACAAGCTGCTCGCTGAAGACGTTTCTTGTCTTTAGAAAGGCGTGATCGTAGTAGTGGTCCTAGGACCACAGCTCAGAGCAGCTGCTGACACACGGGTGTCACCGGGACCATGGGCAACACTTCAAACTCAGTTCTTGGAACACAATTAGGTTGGTACAGAGGGTTCTCGCCCCTACTTCCAACGTGACGAGCTCGTCTCATATCTCTCATTATCCCCTAGTAAGAACACTTGTCTTGTTTTGTTATTACTAATTACCGAATGATGAACGCGACAGGATTAAAGTTTCTAGTCGAAATGCTCTTTGATGCTGCTTTCTTTACAAGATTTTCAGCACAACTTTCAGAACAAAAGCGAAACTTCTTCTAATCGCAGGAGAAGCGATAGTGTGTTTTCGGTACGATGCCGTTAGAGAACGAAATGGCTCTGGCTATGCTTCGGGTCACGATGCTCCTATTCAGTTCTTTGGGAATACCTGCTTCAGGAGATACTCGTACCAGATCAAAAACGGTTGCTAGAAGACATGGCGGACAACTGTCTTTTGCCTTGTCCGGTCAAGGTATGAATCATAATGTCAAATGAGGCTACGAGAGATCCTATATTTAACATAAAAAGATAAGGTAAAAACGGTGACGTGTACTATTCTCACGTTGAAAAGTTCAATACAGCCAAAAAATAATTCATTTTTCTTTCCAATCCACTATAATGAGTTCAAAAAAAAGAAAAAAAGGACTCGGAAGTTTGTTACATTTGATCTATTATTGAGTAACAAGGTCAATTAATTATTTTAACTTTGGTTGTAAATTATTTACTTAAATCAAATTAAATTACTCTTAATTAAAAGACATATTCATTGTAAATATTTCACATTCATAGGAAACGAAAAACTGTTCATTTACCCGCTGCCACTTACTGCATTGAAGATGTTTGCTAGAGACTGCGAAACGTTTTTGTGGAATTAAATTTATCTCAAGATATTCGTCAATAAGCATGGACTTTAATAGTTATTCTTTGTCGGTAATACAAAATCAACACTTCATCACTGACAAAAAATATGCATCAAGTAACTTTATTTTCTGAATGTTCCCACCCAAAAACATCGAAACACTTCATAAATCGACAATCTCAACAGCAAGAATGTGAAGAATGTGTCCAGACAACAGACATCTAGGCAATACCAAGACACTAATCGTACGGTCTCCAGACGTATACCAGCGTAATTGAGAACCGTGTACTGAGAAACAATGAGAAAAAGTAATGCCTTCAACCAGCAGTTTTCAATGCGCACCGAAGTATGAAGTGAACGACACTGCGGAATGAAGCCTAACCAAAGAACTACCCTTTTCTCCCTCCCACTTCGTACATAACTTGCAAATAGTGTAGTAAATCGTAAATACTAATTACTTCGCTCTCTTGAAGGTTCACAGTAAACAGCATCTTAAGTATCCTTCGGTAGCTGAATTCTTAGCGTAACGAGATCGTTTTGTGGTTGGAATATGCGTTTAATTTTACGTGAACCGTTTTACCCTTCCGGTCAAACGAGGTCCGTGATCACAAATCTTGGGGTGAAACTATTACGAGCAAAACCCTTACCGGATTCACATTTAGTGAAGCTTTAAAGATTTATTTAAATAGGAGACATAGTTATCCCGAACAATTAAAACTTGGTGTAAGTAAGCGCCTTCGGAGTACGGTTAAATACGGTAATAAACAAACTTGAATGGGAAAAATTGGCGCATTTTCAGAAGTACTCGAGCCGCACGCAGCGATCCATACACGGTCAAGCCAGACTTGACGATCCTGCGATACATCAGTTGTAAAACAGTCGCTGCTGCTTCTGGCGTCTTTGTCGCACAATAATACATCGATATATCTTGACAGGCGGACGGTCGCACGCACGTCACGTCTGGCTTTCATTGAGTAGATTTAGATTTAGATTTATTCTGTCCAAAAACAGTAAAAACTGTATGTGACTTAGGGGGGGAAAGATTATTTGCACACGTTTTCTTGACTTCCAGTTGTCTTTCCCGTCATTTTAACTATAAATAGTTGAAAGGTGAGTAAAAGTTTAACATAAATAAATAAAAATAAATTTTAAAAATTGCAAGATTAGCAATATTTGAAAAATAGTCGTTTTTGTTTCTGAGTTATAGAAAACTTATTTGCATCGGGACACGAATTGCAAGTATGATTTTTCTGCATTGCTAACAAAATAGCAAGCGCCCGTATCTCTACTCTTACCATTACAAGCAAAAGTAGAGTTCAACAAAACGTGCGCATAGTGAAGCTACATTTACGTCCAGAAGCAAAAGAAGGGAGCCATCTTAGCATTTGCTCAATGGATCAGGGAAACTGGACAAAAACCTGATCGAGATGGGGGTCATTGACCCGAAAGCTAAAGTACATTATTTGCTACAAACATATTAAGTATTTAAAAAAATATACAATACAAATGTAAACTAATTCATTATATATCACTGTTTTGTTAAAATAAACACTTTTTTCTTTTTTATAATCAGTGTAGTCTCTAATTGTCCACAAACAATTATGCAGCAGAAAAGATTTTACTTTTAACTTAAATTTGTGAACCGAATTCAATTGTTTAATGTCATCTGGCAGTGTGTTGAAGGCCGCTTAACTCAATGAGCTTTGAAAATATTTGGAGGAATGTAAATATTTAAGAATATAATGTTGTAGTTCAAAATAAATTTTTTCAAAATTTTTAAAAAAGCAATAAATTTAAAAAAGTTATGACCAAATGTGAAAAGAAATGATACATTTTTGAGAGGCGTACAATTGTGCGGGTTGGGAGTTTGAGTTCTCCACACGCGTGTCTTCGGAGTGTCTCGTCCAAAGGGGACTGCGTCAGAGTCGCAGGGATGTGACCAGGGGGTACTTACGCGCTGCAGCGGTTGGAAGACGCCCGACTAGTAGCACGCCTAGGGCGAGGGCGACGGCGAGGGCGATGGGCGACGTACGGGCCCTGTAACACAAGCAACCAAGCCGTTCAAACACCCACAAGGTAAGGAATGCGTACACTCTTGAAATGTACTGGAGGAGCACATTATAAATGAAGGAAAATCTAGTACGAGCACACACACGCGAAAAAAATGCAGGCAACACCGGAGTAGATTTTCTACGCGTTGGTCTGAAACGTTTAAATTTAGTGTCCCTTACATATGACTCAATGAACTCAAGGAACCCTCCAAGGACGAGAATAATTTTTCATCAAAAATGTTGAATTGCTTTACGTCTTTTAATCCAACAGCTTTACTTTAAGCCTCAAAAAATGTCCAAAAATTATTTCACGCATCAGTGAGGAGAGGGAGAGTGTGACGTATTTGTCACATTCGTCCTTGGAGGGTGTGAATATTGTACTGGGATAAAAGAGAGAAAATATTCACAAGGCGACCTTTTATTTGCTCTTACATGTAGATACTGAGCAATTGCAAGAACATGGAAAAAAGCGAAATAAGTGACAATATCTTCCAAATTATGTATAGTAAATAATTACAAGATCGGTAAGACTCAATTGCAAACCAGTAAACAAACTATCTGTAATTATATATAGAACAATTTCAGAATTCAGAGCATGTTCGGACTTTTCAGAGAACGAGATTTGTTTCAGTAGACGTGTTAGCATCTCATTCAAGTTATTAACGAACCTCCCAGAAACCTAAAGTGTACCTCGGAGTTGGGAAGCGCGGTTCACAATTTGAGATTACTACGATGTATCAAAACTCAACGCAGAACATTCTTGTTTAGAGAAAAGGAATTACTACATCAATGTTCATAGTAGGCGTTTAACTAAATATATCACGTCACACATAAAGCAATTTTATAGTAGTTGTGAAAAAGCCCACGAGATGATGGCCGAACCGCCATCCACGATGGAAGTGCAGCTGATCCCGAGCAGCAGACAAACACCGATCACTAAAGCCTTCGCTACTAGACCACAGCCGCAATGCTGCCAACCAAACTCTCGAAATACGAACTCGTTCTCCAGGAGACTTGGTGGCGAAACCTTACGAACGCATCCCAAAAAAAATTTAATTCTTTAGTAAAAACGTGTAATCGTTCTCACTAGAACTCGGAAAGACTTAATGAAATACTGTCTTTCTGCATTTAATTTTGCTCTAGTGACCAAAAATTATGGTCATTTACTTATATCGTGGTTAAAAATCTGTGAAGAAAGTGGCATTTTATTATTATTATTATTATTATTATTATTATTATTATTATTATTATTATTAAATAGAAAGAATGTCGCAATACGACTGCTGAAACGTGAGCAACTGTGCTTAGGACGCGACGTCTCCCGGGCAGGCAAAAATCTATTGGCTCCGGCTACGTAAACCTACGCTTACATTATTTGAATATTTTGTTAAATGTTCTTCTGATTATTCAATTCATTATTGTCACGGCAGATATTCTTCACGAGGCGTTGGCCGCAAGTACATCTCAATGACGCTGTTTTTAATCGTCTCCTAACGCATGGTCGTCCCAGTGCTTTGCAATTAATGTGAAAAAAAACAGACTTTTTTCTGCTCTTGACCTACCTTTACTCACAGCCTTGCATGGATTGGTCTCGAGGCGCCTCAAAAAAAGAAAAAAATAATGAAAGAAAAAAAACTCGTTTGACTAGGTTTCCCGTCTACACACTCATTAAAGTCTTTGCCAAAATGTTCCATGTTCCCTTTATTTATTTCGTTAATTTCTGAGAATCGAGAAAAATTATCTGACGGTATTTAATTCTGAAAGTACGTCGAAGTCTAAGTGAGGGGATGGGGGTGAGGGTGGGGACAAAACAAAAATTCATTTATTCATTCTGGAACGTCTTGAGTAGAATTGTACATGAAGCTGGCACGTTTACAAAAATTGGAAAATGTTTGCTCAAAATAGATTAAAATTCATGTTTTATAACACGATTGAGTAATATTGCCATGCCTGTAGTAAGTTTTATTATTTCATTTTGGCTTGCATGTATCATAGCATTTGGCATTTCAACATTTGACATCGTTGCTACGAACATATCTACATTGCTGATAACAGAATAGTGAGAATCACGATATCCTATTAGGTCTACAAAACAAACAAATTTGAATAAAAGTTTCGAATTTTTCAAATATCTAACGATTTTGGGAAATAATTTATGTTTTAAATCATGAAAAGTTTAGAACAAAAATAGCTTCGTGTGAAAATAACTTTTTTACAAAACGTGTTTCAGCTGTGACACCATTGCCACTGCTGTAGAAACCAATTGGAAATATTTTAGAAGTTTATTTTCAGCGTGTTATTATTATTTTGAAAATAACACTTTTGGATTAGATAAAATAGTCCGAATAAAAAATATAATTTTCAAGTTTTAATGAATACTAGAACAAACTGATACAAACAGTAAAGGAAATCTTAGTAGTTTCAGCTGAGATCGTGTGGTAAATCAACTTCATATAAGAAAATTATTTGTAAAATCGATCGGACAAGTTCAATGCACGTTACACAGTCATGTAAGGTCCCTCTTCTCTGTAAACTCTTCTAAACGGCTCCCCATTAAAAATCTTTTAACTTATTCAGTTCGGACCGCAATCCACGCAAACCGCTAGGCTCTTCATGACCTTTCTATCGGCGACAAGCACACTCATGGAGCGGATTTTAGAACTAATTTTAGTTATTTATTCGGAGTCATCGTTATTAATTACATTAAGTACATTTCAAATTGACCATAATGTCCAAACCAGGGCATAGAACAAACACATACTTACGAGAAAGTATTTTACCTAATGAAATTTTTGCACAGCGTAACGTAAAACGTGATTACAAATCACGTGATCGGTAGTGTGTGCTGTGTAATACACTGCAATAGCGAAGCATTGCCGGGTTCACTAGTACGTAATAAAAATGAACGTTTGATCTTTCAGTTGACACGGTTCTGGTTTGATGTCGTGGGCATAAGAGATTCCAATGAGTTCACCTCTGATTCATATTCCACGCCCGGCCAAGACGCGCCTCATCCGGGAGGCTTTCCAATTGTTAGCGCGCGCGTGAAGAGGGATGGGGTTTGCGACGAATGCTCGCGTGTCTGTCTCCCTTCCCTCTCGGGTCGACACTCAGCAAGGGCCCGCGCAGATCTCTTTCAAATGAGGCCGCAGTTCGCATCTGAACCCGCGCCCGGATTTCCACCAGGGTGGATGTCGACATTCAGTTCAGTGGTGAATCCGGGGGTGGCATGGGAGCCATGCTCACCACAATAGGTCTAGAGTTTTCGATTGTTACCTTTTTATTTAGCAAAATTGGTTTAAATATTTGTTTTAGAATTGGGCAGTTATTTACAAAAAATAATATTGTATAGTATCGTATAAAATGTGTAAAAATAATATAAAATGTAATATAAAAAAATGTTTATGTATTTAACAAAAATCTATGATTGCCCACTCCAAAATGATAGGCTGGATTCAGTCCAGCAATGCTTCGCAATTACAGTGCATTAAATAAATACAATTCAAGTTGAAAATAAATGTATTCAATGAAAATTAACTGTTTTAACTTCACTTTGACAACGTATTAACCACATTTTACTTTATTACACTTCACTTTAAAAAACAAATCAATTTGGTTCAGACTTTCTGCTTTCTAGATCGTAACTTCTATGTTATCCGATATTATGAGCCGAAGCGAGACGTGTAGTTCAAAATGATATCTGTAAATCGCACTTCAAGCAAGGTCCCATGGGATCGGCGTAGAGCCCACCTCGTCGATTAACTTTGCAAAATCAACGACCGCACAAGTCCAATTTAATTCAATCAACTCTTTAAGTACTCCCTATACTAACAAGAACAAAGAGTGAACATTTCAACAAAATAGGTCGAGTAGATGTCACCGACATACGCATATTTTTTTAGAAGGCTACCTTACAATGGCGATGGAACGCATTAGTTAATCAACCATTTTTCTAGGCAGCAAAATAGGGTTTTTGCTTACCAGAAAATTTTGCCAATGGGGTTGATCAGTATAGTACATACATACATGCATAGATTCTAAGGGAGCTTTGCCCAAAGAACCTTTGATGAAATCCCTAATTTTAATTCAATTTTGCTCTTTTATTTGGTTTTATTCCTGCAAAATTTTACAAGTGTCTTCAACAACTGTTTTTTGGGGGTCATGATCTTCGGGTGTCCCTCTTCCTCATGATATGCCAGCAATTTCTACGGGATGGATTAATTGATTAGTGTTGGCTTGCCAAGGCCATTAGTCCCGTAACAGTAGTGCATGTTTTTAAATAGCTGGAAGCTTCGGGAATCTTCTCAGGTCACGTGGAGAGATCCGGCACCGACCTATAAGTCGGCAAGATTTTTCCAACAAGATATCTCCCACCAGCTGGGCAGCGCTCCAGTCGGGTCAAACTCTAAGCAACCGACTTGTTTCCCGGCAAGTGTGGTAGTGTGGAACGTGTGTGTGTGTGTGTAAGAAAGGAATGAAGATAAGGCAATGAAAAGGAAGGAAAGATCGCGCGCGGGGGTCCGTGGCCATTTGTTAGGCTGATTTGTTAGGATGATGCTCCGGCATTTGCCTGATATTGACTAGAGAAATCGCAGAAAACTACCGATCACACCAGCTGACCGCTCGAATTCCCCTCCAGACAGCGGCCGAATTCGACGTAGCCGTCTAGAGCTGCAGTGACATCATTTGATGCCCTGAGCCACGTAAGCGGGTCTACGGGATGGACCTATCGATATATTTCGGAAGGTGGTTATAGTAGTTGAAGGAGACCATCACGTCAACCCCATCACATCTACACCGTGAAAAAACCTCTGCTTTACCCGGGAGTCAATCCCGCAGCCCTGGGCCCTGCTCTCATATTTGGATGTTTCTTTCTGCTGGCCTCTTGCGGTGCAAATACAGTGTGTGTTGTAATTACTGGTCTCTATTTTCCATTGTGTTGTGTCGTGGTATGCATGTACCTCACGCATCAGCTCCGAACTCGATTCCATTCAGCAATTCCTGTCTACACCGCGATAAATAGTGCGAGGGTAGTGTGCCTCGGGCGCGAGGCTCAACGAGATTACTGGTCACGGCTACTGACGCGTTCTAGGAGAAACCTGGACTTTCTCTAACCAGTTATAAGCATTGATGGTCATTGACTTTGTTTTTATATATTTATTTATTTATTTATTTATTTTTGCAAAACTGACACTTGTCAAGATTTGGAAAATAATTGTACTTTATAATATTATATTTTCAATTATTTAAATTATACAATTTAGCCCTGGGGGTATGGAAAATGAAATGATGGTAGTGAGAGGTGAAAGGACCACACGCACATCCAGACAAACATAAATACTCCCAAGGCCGGAATCGAATACGCGATCAACTGGTCCGAGACCGCTATGGCACTACTGCCGTAGCAATCACGGCTATTATTATTATTATTATTATTATTATTATTATTATTATTATTATTATTATTATTATTATTGGTGCATATGACATTACGTTACAAGATTAACGTGTGTAATCTTAACAGATCAGCTTTTTCAGCCGTATTCTTCAATACGACAAGGTCTTGACGTGTGAATTATGAGATGATAGGATGATGATGAGGGATGAAGGGATAATCACAAATACGACCATGTCTAGGCAGGGCTCGAACCTGCCGCCTCCTAGGCGAAGACGACGGCTGCCGAACCGTCTGCGTCACGGGGACGACTTTATTATTATTATTATTATTATTATTATTATTATTATTATTATTATTATTATTATTATTATTATTATTATTGGTGTATACGACATTACACGTTACAAGATTAACGTGTGTAATCTTCACAGATCAGCTTTTTCAGCCGTATCCTTCAATACGACAAGGTCTTGACGTGTGAATTATGAGATGATAGGATGATGATGATGAGGGATGAAGGGATAATCACAAATACGACCATGTCAAGGCAGGGCTCGAACCTGCCGCCTCCTAGGCGAAGACGACGGCTGCCGAACCGTCTGCGTCACGGGGACGACTTTATTATTATTATTATTATTATTATTATTATTATTATTATTATTATTATTATTATTATTTAGTTTCTTTCAACAGTTTCAATTTGAAAACTACATCGACCGAAAACTAACATGAAATTTGAAATTCATATCAGTTCGTAAATGTATTGCATTCATGGTTTCATTGATGTTAAAGTTAATGGTTCCACATTTCCGTTGACGAGACCGTTTCGTTGCGAACGAGGCTTCGCCACAACGCGCGCCGCGTCGCGTCGCGGTGTCTGCTGGTGGCGCTGGCGGCGGCGGAGGCGAGCACATGGGGCGCGGCGCGGAGCTTTTTGAGTGGGAGGGGGAGGGGAGGGGAGGCATTCCCTGGCGGGCGGCGACTGGCATTTCGCGCGCCTCTGCCGGCGCCACGCGCGCACACACTGGGCCCAAACTGGCGCTCACACGCACTGGCGCATCTGGTTCTCACACGCAATCGCTTACGTTGATTCGTGATTCCGCGGCGCGTCAATGACGAGTTTCATTAGTCCCATAAGTGTAGTGCATCTTTAATTCGGGGAGAGGTGATCTTACACGACTGGATTCGTTATTCCCGTAAATGTAGTGAGCGTTTTATCCCAGGTATCAGTTCAGCCACTATCTGGAGGATAATTCTATCGCTCTGCTGCTCTGATCAGTATTTTTTCGCAGTTTTTCCAAATCAACACCAGGCGAATGCCGGAGCAATTCCCTAACAAACACAAACGGGTCAGAGGTCGGGCGAGAGTTTTCCTTTCTCTTACTTGTCCTATCCTCACCTCTTACTTACACACGCGTACATTTACATGCACTACACTACCACACACGCCGAGAGACCGGTTGGGAGCTTACAGTTGATTCCGGGAAGGGAGGTGCCCAGTTTGCGGGAGATACCTGGTTGGGAAAATCCCTGCTAGATGACAAGAAGGTCAGCGCTGGATCTCACCATCCGACGGAAGTTTATCGTCCTTCCACTCGAGGAAAAACATGCACTACACTCACGGGGCTTCGCTGTAGACGCGCCTGTAATCACTAATCAATCAAGCAAATCAACCATTCAATATACTCGACGCAATTTCCGACCATGGGCTTTCGCTGCGTGCGCACTGTGCGTGGAGCTGGTCGGGTCGCGTCGGGTCGGGCCGGGTCGGCGCGCGGCCACGCGACATCTGCTGCATCTATTACCATACCCGCACAATCCAAATAGCGCGCGTGCATAGGTCGTTCCTTGGCGCTGTCACCCGTCGAATGCATCGGTGACGTCAGCCCTGCCTGTCTTCAGATCAACCGCCGCGGCGGCGGAATAATGATGCGGGGCAACTGTACGTCGGCCGCTTAGACGAGAAAGTGCATGGCATCAGTCAGGAGCGTTTTGCTGCACGGCTGAGACACCTCCAAAAATTTTAAAAGTCACCGTTTTTCGTGCTGTCAGCATTTCATAACTTCCTCTTTTTAAGGAGTTCCTTTTCAAGCTCGAGAAAGTAAAAATGATCCGTTTATATTGATCATCGCATCCGGGGGGAAGACAAGTATCAGTCTTCCCAGTATCAGTCTCAAGACATCAATCTGCAACTGTACATCGGCAGCTTAAACGAAAATGTGCATGACATCAGTCAGGCACGTTTTGCTGCACGGCTGAGACACCTCCAAAAATTAATTTTTTTTGCAGCATTTCATAACTTCCTCATCTTAAGAAGTTCCTTCTTGAGCACGAGAAAGTAAAAAACGTACCGTTTATATTGGTTTTCGCATCCGAGGGGGGGGAGACGAGTATCGGTGTTGCTCAATGCATCAATCTCTTTTAAATAACTGTAGGGAGATTTTCTTGAGTTTAGGTCAATAATAAACGTCATGATCAAACCTAAATAACGTTTATTATTGACCTAAACTCAGGAAAATTTCACTACAATTAATTAACGAGTTCAAGAAATCAAGCACTTTTAAATAATGTTCCGGTTTCGGTTAATACAATATCTCGGTTATTGACACAAAAATTATTTCGTTTTGTGACTGTTACAAACGGGTCATTTTGATTAAAATATTAGCTTGAGACTGACTTCTTCCTTTTTTAATTTATATGCGTCCAGGCCGGTACTATGGACACGCTCTCTCAATAAGAATCGGATTTTAGAACAAATTTTAGTTTCTAGTTTGTTTATTTGTGTGGCCATCCTTGTACCTCTAAATCTTCTTCACAGGCACAGCAGCGCAGGGAGGGCCTTGGCTGTCTCCGCGTATTTTTATCCTTGCGTAAGCGTTGTTGGTATTTGCGTAGTCGTCATTGTTAGGGAAGATTTTCTTATTGGCTTCGTAACAATTGTTTTACAGTATCAGAGTCTGTGACACTCCACCCCCCCCGTAACCATTCAAGTGATGATTTGTTATTTGGCTTTGTCTCTCCTAGAAAGACTGGTTTGAACATTACTAAATCTATCATTTTGATTACGGTAGGGGAGCGCACTGTAAATAAATTTCACTTTCCTGAATGTACAGAACATCAGCCATTTTTTTATACAAAACACTTTCGTTTTTAACATTCACTGTACATTGGCTCTCGAATATAATATTGTTAATGCCTTTTACCTTTGCCTTATGGAACTGCAATTTGCAAGTCTATTTTATATTTACGTTTTTGCGCAGTCTTCTGTATCTAGTATGAATTCATTTATTTAAGATGTGTACAGAATTAAAAATATTCTTCTTTACATTTTATTATTATTATTATTATTATTATTATTATTATTATCATCATTATTATTCGCGTATGGGCCTCTACTAGCCACGCATTTGTCTCTCCGAAGCCCAGTTATATTATATCCTGGACACATCAACGCCTTTACATTATATTGTAATATCTCTCACTTAGCCTGCTCAAAATAGTCATGCAGTTGGACTGTCTGGAGGAGAATTCTAGCGACCGGCTGCTGTTGTGGTTGGTCCAATCAAATCCTGGCGCATGACGGAGGTGTCGGAATGTCGGAGGAATACTGTAAGAAACGGGCCACGGAACGCGTGCGATCTTTCCTTTCTCTTCCTTGTCCTGTCCTCTGCCCTTACTGCTTATATTCACGTACACTTAACTACTACACATTCCGGGAGGCCAGTCGGGAGTTAAGAGCTTGTCCCGATTAAAGCGCTGCCACGCTGGAGGGAGATATCTGGATGAGGAAAAACCATCACGCCTAAGGGTGGGTCGACGCCGAATCTTGCCCACCAGCGGAGGGAAATCACCGCCACCTCAAGCGAAAAAACTTGCACTACACTTACGCGACTAATCACCATAGCAGTTGACGCGCCGGGAATCATTAAGCAATCGATGATGAAACCAGCCGTTAAGAATGGTTTTTGCTCCTTCGTTTGGTTGCCATAAGAATAAGACGATATAACACATTAGTTTACGAAACCATAATAAGAAGCGAAAGAACAGTAGAAAACGCTGTGGATTCAGTATCTTCCGGCATCTAGATTTATTGTAATTTTTTAATACCAATAGGAAACGCTTTTCTGGCATTAATTTCCTTTTCAAATAATGACATACATTTTTGATATCCCTAATATATTAACGGAAATGCTACTTTCGAAATAACTATAAGACTTATTCGCTGATAAAATTTAAAAGACAAAAACGGAATTTGTTCCTCGTGAAATTTATCTTGTGATAGTGATTTGTTAAGCTAAGACAATTCATCACTCATCTCAATTAATTATGTGAACCATCCTTTACAATTTCGTTATTACCGCTGAATGCTAGGTTGGTTTATCAATTTCAATAAAATTAATTATGTGGCCCAAACTCGACACAATACTCAATTTTATGAAAATAATTATGTTGAAGGTTTCAAACAGACGTAATCTCCAAATAATGACGAAACAGCTTAACGTACCAACACATTCAGAAAAAAATGTATCCTCCTACAAAGGCAGTAACCTTTATGCATCCTAGAATTGGCCCACTGTTCTAACTACTACATAAATCCTTTTAAACAGAGACTGAGGAACGAAGAGATAAAGCAGTTCCGTGCAGTGGGTGGGTACCAACCACATGGATTGATGGGTAGGCAGCCACAAAAGATGCGACGTATTGAGTGCAAAATTGTTACCTACTGGTCGAATTTAAAACATGTTGGCGACGCCTGCAATTCTTCGGAGCGACGTGAGGTGCGGGGGTCAGGGCTTTCAAGAGGCAACGCCCCCATTTCTTACCTCCGACGCCCACACGGATCTCGCAGCGCAGGAGCGGACAAACACACGCCCCCCACACACACGCTCTTCCAACCCCAACACACAAAGGTGGGAGAGGGGGGTAATAAACGTAACTGCACTATCGGTGCCCGTCTTTTGGAGGTCAGTGGGAAATAATTAAATTTAAATTATCGTTCTCCATGTCGTGGCGGGAAGAACATTCCTTCACGAACGTCATACGATGGCGCAGGTCTCATATTTGTTGAAATCTGAATTTTTGAAAGCCGAAAAAGGTCGAAATAATGCGAGAAAAGATGTGCTGATGTTGCACCACTCTTTTTTATACGGATACGAAACTAGCTTTTGTATGAATTGCTATATTGAGGAAGGGGAAGCTAACCAATTGAAGCAGTATTCTGAGATCGATGTTAAGAAAACAATACAACAAATTTGTCTCTAATGATACAATTCGGTTTACGTTTTTCATAAACGATGCAACCTAAAGATTATTATAACTAATTGAAATTTCTCTCGAGGTTCCAAGTGTACACTGTGTGTTGGTCCCTCATCTGTACATATTTACAGATCCCAAGAGCTTGCACCTTACACAAGTCAACATTAATCCTGAAGATCTACCACGGCGAAACTGTTGGAAACATCTTTCCTGAGTTTCACACGATCGAGATAAAAAAGTGTGTTCTTGCCTACTTTCCCCATTGCTCTCTTTCTTCTGTTAGATGAGTGAAAGTTTTCGACGTAGTTTTACAATTTAATATTCCGCCTGCTCCCAAACCTCCATTCCAACTTAATGTGTCACTTCACATAGTAGTATTTGCGTTTAATTCATTTTTCGTTTCGACGCCGGTTTATCCTTCAAGATGCGACCAAGTTACAGCATCTCTATTTCAGTTAGCCAATTAGATCGATTTACATTTTTTCATTTCGAAGTCATGACAAGCATTTTTCTTTACGCATTTGTTAACATAATATTTTTATGATATTTACTTGTTGGTATAACGTTTGTAACTATGTCTTACACCGAGAAGTCAACACAAGTAGTTCCCAGGTGTTCGGCACTGTTTTCTTTGCGTTGCAGTCTTTTTATTGGTTGAGATGTAGTATAAAGGCATAGCTTGTTATTGTTACAACAACGACTATGCATTTTAAAATATCTTGACCTTTTACATTGCATACCTCTTAATAAAATCGTAATATTTTACTTTCTTGAATATTAATATTATTAAGGAAAATGCCTACATACGTATTATAGGAAAATAATTATAATACTGCAAAAATCTAATAATGTTTTTGTTTTATGTCAAAAATAAATTTGTTAGTATCTATTTACAAAATTTTATAAAATTAATTTTTAATTTTCTAGCTATCTTAAATTTATTTTGTTCATTTTTCCCGTCTTTGTTGTCTTTACTTTGTAGTCATACATGGTTGCGAAGATTTTTGGATTGTGGGAAGCCTTCCAGGAAGTCTTAAGATCATTGAATTGCTTTGATTGAGTGGAAACAGGATTTCAATTTTGTTCGGATTGGAAAACCATTAGGACGTCATCCTTTAAAGTTAAGTGAGCATTAACAATAGTGTGAAGCATAATATTGGTCATAAATGTAATATATTCCCCTGTATATTCGAATATAATATTTACATAATATTTACCCCACATTCCGTAATATAATAGGATCTAATGATGTGCAGATGAAGGTAATCATAACGTTTTGTTTGCATTGTTGGAAACAGTTCTTTTTTCAGTAAATGAACCACAAAAGAGATGGAAAGAGGTAGAGAGTGAGAGATAGAGAGAAAGAGTGAGTGAGAGAGTGAGTGAAAGTGAGTTAGTGTGAGAGAGCAAGACAGAGAGCGAGTGTGTGTGTGTGAGAGAGAGAGAGCGTGTGTGTGTGTGTGTGTGTGTGAGAGAGAGAGAGAGAGAGAGAGAGAGAAAGAGAGAGAGAGTAAGATAGAGAGAGAGAGCGTGCGTCAGCGAAACAGAGATACGGTAAACGACTTCATATTTAGTCGTACTTGCTTTTCTCCATATTACTGCTCCTGGATTACGAAAA